TCTGCCAAAGTTCCCCTTTAACACATATACTTTAACTAATTGATTTCTACTGCCACTTTTAGATATTTCTATTCAATGCCTTACTAATATGCCACAATAATGTAATGTTTTTGAGTTCAAATATCTTCATTTGGGGGCTTTACTAAACACATATTGACATATGTGATTGTTTGCTATTAAATCAGCATATATTTCTGCCACCCCTTAAAGTCTCCCAGCAACCCTCTGAACACTGTGAGAGGGACATGCAGGCAATCAAGTCTGGGCATCTGATTTATATACAGCACCAATTTTATGTGATGGCTGCCTTACATGAGAATTCCTCTCTCTCTACCCTGTAACTCTTCAGCTATCACTGTCGACTGGGGGCAATAAAAAAAAGGAAAACAGTTTGACTGAGTACAGCCTACTGAAGGACAACAAAGTACATTAGCATAAATAAATAAAGGTAGAAATACAGAAATAAATACATGTAAAATTGCACAAATAGCCTTTTTATTTACCAAAATATTTATTTATGTATTATTTACTAACTTATGTATTTATACCTCCCGTCCGTCCTTTATTATATTCTTACGTCTTTTTCTTCCTGCCAGAGTTCATCCGTGTTTACGGTATTTACCACTCCACGCGCTTTTTGACGACGTCATACACAGGCGACACAAACAAACCTTCGTACAGAGCTAACTTAACGTTGCCGCTAGCCATGAATGACTACATAACAAGGGTTCCTGCAGTACTCTGAGGGTGACAATGATTCCACTGAGCTACATTCTGCTGTGCGGACAGTTCCTGCTGCTACTCACGGTTATTCTGTTACAATGTCTGGAAGGAATTCACTCCCAAAACTCGTCGACCACGGAGCCTCCTGCTTCCTCTTCCGGCCAGGCAGCCACAGCGCTGCCGTTCAGCGAGCAGCCCGAAACTGTGAGATCTGTGGAAAGTCCGAACCACACAGAGCCCTATGAGTACAGACCCCCGTCCCCGGTCGTCCTCTGCAGCTACCTGTGAGTAACGTACCGCAGTCAGGACAGGGCCCTCTCGTTAGCATGTTGGCTAATGCTACGTGCAGTGGCTGTTGTGACACAGCAGACGTTAACGTTACATCGTGCTGTGTACGTGGATAAAGTGGTTTCCACAAAAGTCACATTTGCGAAAAGACTTTTAGAATATAACGTATATGCCATAAGGTCAACTAAAACGAGTCTATCTTTCACGTTCTCCCGTGTTAAACAGCTGTTATGGAGTATACATTTATTTAATTAGTCATGTATTTAATGCCGAATTTACTGTAAGACCTTAATGACAAGCAATAGGCTTTAAGTCATCTTTTACTTGGTATGCATTATTGCAATAAATCAGGGGATTGTTAACTGTCAAATTTTATGAATGAAGTTTGGCGAGTGTCAACAAGGATGCCTGTTTTAGACAAATCAGTCCTTTTCACAGCAATGCCATACTGCATTCCTAACTCTGTCTTTGGTCATACATTGCAATGAAGGCCGGAGGAGTTCATCTACTGTCAGGACCCTGTAGATCATGCAGGCAACCACAGTGCCTGTCTGGAGATGGGCCACGGCTGTGTTGGGGTAAGTTTTATTTCTTAAGAACGTCTTATGTTGGTAATCCCTCAGCAGCACTTAACTTAATGACTGTTTTTATCTCTAGTGGGGTGGCCAGACTGAAAAAGAGGTGAACTACACCCAGGTTATGTGCACTGCACTCGATGAAATCGAGTGTGCCGGACCCAGAGAATTCCTCAGAGGACACGTACCGTGCATCAAGTAAGGCATACTCTGCTGGACACACAACTGTATACATCTAAATGTGCCAATAGTATCATGCCAAACCCCATGCAGAACTATATTAGTTTAATGCTTCACCCGGTAAAACACATGCATACGCGTTGGAATATGGCCCTTCAATGAGCTGATGTTTGAATTTAGTATTCAGGTAAAATGACAACTGTTTTTTTTTCCTTCATATTCTTTGGCTTTACCAGTTAACTGCGCTGTAAACAAATATGTCATACAGCTACACCTTGATAATGTCTTCTTGTATGAAAAGCATAAACCATGTGTTCCCTGTTGTTTGGAAGCTCATTCACTGAGGTCAAATGTTTGGTATTCAGGATAAAATCAGGGCTGAAATATGGAGAAGCACACAGCCTGAGTCTGTCTTAAAAAAACACATTTTAAAAAGGATTTATCATTTAACACATACAGTTTCTTTATCTTTCCGCTCCATAATCAGTCTCCTCATCTATTTTACATTCATAAGTACCCTTTTAGTTATTGGGAAAAGCGGTGAACAACAATAACAATCACATTGTATTATACTCTACATGCTGTACCAGATGTAATTGTTTTAAAAATATATTTTACCTGTCAGATTTAGTTAAATTGCCTCTGAGTTACCGACTAAACAAACAATTTAAAATGGGGTCTTGGAAATAGTGAAACTATTTAAAATATATTTTTTTCGACATTTTCAATTTCATTTCAAATTGTAGATTAAGACAAAAAAAGTAATCTACAAATGACACAATAATAAAAATAACCATTAGTTGCAGTTGTAACTGTAAGAATCTGACTGGCCTCGCTCTGGTACCTCGCCACCAAATATGGAATGAAGACGATGTCAAATCTTTACATTTTTGCTTTATTAGTGGGTCCCACATCATCTCTAACATTATAAGTGAGTGAGTTTTTTTCCCTCTTGTAAGTAAGTGACATGCAGGATGACAGCACATTGGATGATGGATTCATGTAAGATGTAGCAGCTTGCTTTGTTATGAGTTACACAAACTAGGCTGTTTGTCTATTTTCATATGATTTCTACATAAATCATATGAGAGAGCAGGGATGTGAGAAGGGAACGTTGCCCTCAGTCTTGTATTGCTCTTGGCTCAGATTAATAAAATAAGTGGCCATCTATTGGTGTATATACTGTATGTGTCTGTGATTGTGTCAAGAAATCAACCCACAGAGTGCAGACCTCTGCTGGAGCCGAGTCATCTCCCCCATTGCCTTTGCAGTCAGTTATGTAAGAGTAGCCGAAGTTAGGCCTGATAGTGATGCTAGAAGGAAGGTCATGAGTTCACTAAAATCAATGGGCTTCTTTCTCAGATATTGTGTTTGTGTGAGAGACAGGCCAGGAGGTACACTCATTTGGGAATGGAAAGTTCTTTCTGCTGCATGATATAGTTACCAGTCTAGCCAATAGTTTCTGAGATGGCTTGGTCACAGATGAACAAAGAAATGCAGGGTTCCCACACATCCTGAAATACCTGGAAATGGTTTAAAATGACCAAATGTCCTGGAAATAATCTACATTATCCTGGAAATATCCTCACTCAGATCCCCTATGTAAACCTGGGTGTGCATTTTGTTTGAAATTTAAGTGTTGGTAAGATAAGCTGCGCGGCATGACACCTCACAGTGGGTTTATCAGACACGAAGTGGAGCGGAAAGACATTTTAAAAGCTCCCTTTTCATTTTGGCCATGTCAGTCAGTCTAGCTGTTCACACCAGACGCACAGTGGAAGGGACTTGGAGCCATCTTTTTGGCATCGTAATGAAACTGAAACACTTCATTATGAACCCTGCATCATTAAAAAATAGGCATAAAACTAGACTTTAAGTCAATACGAGGCCTAAAGGTATATTCTGTGACTGTGAGCTGTCCTGAATTGTCCAGAAAAATTTCTGGAAAATGTTTTGTTAAAACAAGTTGGAACCCTGAAATGGACAGACATGCAATTGCACAGCCTTTGTGCCTGTAAAGTATTGTAATGTCTAAGCATCAGTGCAGCGGTCTTATAGTGGTATAACTAAAAACCAGCAAAACTAATGATATTCCCACACAATTTACCTTTTTTATCCAAAAAATGACAGCTTCTGCTTTTTGGATATTGCACTTGGCCACATTGTGTTTTCAGTAATATTTCACAGATTTTATGGACCAAAAAAATCCAAATAAAATCAATTCATGGTTAGAGAAAATTATTGACTGATTAATAAATAATCATTAGTTTCGGCCCCAATTCCCGTCAGCCTCTGTTGTACTTATTGCTGTGATTATTACTAACTAGCAAATGTTAGCATGATATACTAAACATGATATAAATGATATAGCAGCTTAGCAATGCAGGTTAAAGTTGTCATTGTGGTTATGGAAGAATGCTGATGTTTAGCATTCAGTGCAGCCTCACAGAGCCGTTAGCATGGCTGTAGACCTTTAGTCTTGTTACAGTCCTATACCCTTTACTGAGACACTCTTATCAGATTAACCTCTCAGTTCTTTTCTCTAAGAAAACATATAAAAACATATCGAAAACATATAAAATAACGTTAAGTTTATTAAATGTAATGGCACAGACCCTGTTGAAAATGAGATGATGCATCTCCAGGGGCTAGCCATGTAAACAGTAAATGTGTGCTATTAGTTGAGTTGAATTAGTTGGGATGCATGGACATTTGGTGATGACGACAGCAGAGATTGAATAGAGCGTACATAGATAAGACCCAGACATGAGTACTGAGGCTGATACATACACACACTCAAATGTAACAAAATAGATCAAATATTGGTATCAAACACACATTCACTGTCAGAGATGTTTCTACCCATACACTGTGCACTGTAGCTGTACATATTTCCACATCTAAAATTCAAATTCACTTCATTCATATGAACATCTTTGGTATCAGGACCTTACCACTAGAGGGCAATGTTTACAAATGTATAGAACCACCACTTTTTTCTCATGTTTTCACAGTACACCATGTTCTCCCAGCATCCCTCTGCATTCATCAGCACATGAAGTTAATCTCTGTAGTAACTGCATGGACATCAGAGCCATGCAGCAGCAGGACACAATCAAAGCAGCACCTGCACAAAGACACTACAGCAGCGTAGTACTTGGATAAATGCTATTATGTTATAATGTTTTAAAAAAAATAAAATGTTTCTGTTCACTTGTGATATTGTACAGAACAGGTGTTGCTTTTACACTCCATGTAGATCAGAACTGCAGGTGTTCTGCACCAACGTCTTTTACAGTCTTGTGGTTTGTTTCATCATTATCATGTTAGTGCTTATATTTATTTTTCCATTGGACATCTACAGGTTCAGGAATCATACAAATGAGTAAGGTTCAAGGTATAAAATTAAAAGGAAATGACATTTCAGCTGACATTAAATTGCCTTAAATCTCTTCTTGAACATTTTGCTTTTGGTTTTGCACAGATACACCGGGCACTATTTCATCACCACGCTGCTGTACTCCTTTTTCCTGGGTTGCTTTGGGGTCGATCGGTTCTGCCTGGGCCACACTGGCACTGCTGTCGGGAAGCTGCTCACCCTGGGAGGCCTGGGAATCTGGTGGTTTGTGGACTTGATCCTGCTCATCACTGGTGGCCTGATGCCCAGCGATTACAGCAACTGGTGCACCTACTACTGAGAGCGAGAGCAGAGTGTGACTGAGGACTCTGGCCACTTCTCAGTCAGATATCATCAGTTAAATATTGAGAACTCCGGGGAATTGTCTTAGCCTGCCGTGGATATGAATCTGTGAGCTGGCTTGTTCTAAGGGGATTTACAGCTCTGCTGTGCAAAGTGGAGTCCAGGGACCTCCTGAGGACTTCTACTGAGTTCTCAGGGCTCCTGAGAAAAATGAGGACTAATTTGATTTTATTCTAATATCATTCACTTGAAATTTCCCACTCTAAGAATGCAGAAGAATGAATATTGTACTCACAGTGATGGCAAGATCACTTTTCTCACCTGTAGTTCAGTTCATGTGGTCGGACGCTAGCACAACACTCCTGGTTTAATCGATGTACTGGGGACTGCACTCATACGGTACGATACACGTGTGTTACCATGGTTACCAAATCATTTGCATAAATACATACGTTGCTTGGTTTCTTCCTTGCCTGTTGACGATCAGTAGATGGGTTCAGTATTAGTCTAGATTTCTACTAGAGTCACATACTGTACCAACCATCATAAAGCCCAGTGGTTGGTCGTTGCTGCACTATTAGGGACTCTGCTAACCTCCTCACCACTCAAGAGTCCACAGGGAAGCGTGAGCATGGTACAAAACACCCCCTTTCTCCATTTCTACTTGTTTGTCACTATATGATATCCAAGGTCCAGTGTCTATTCTAGTAACAGTCATCAGTTATTTCTTTAGGAGCTCTTTGTGACACTGGAGGAGAACATAAATAAGAACGCAGGGCTCAGTAAAGCTCAACACGACTGCTGTCATTTTTAAACATTGATTTTCCCCATGATGGTGCATATAGCAATAATGACACAGGATGTGTCCAATCAGTGAGTTACCTGTAAGTTCATATGACTTCATGCCTTACAGCTTTTGCTTTTTTTTTTGGATTATCACTGACTACCTTTTACGGGCACAAAATATTCCTTTTGACCTTATTCCGAAAAAGGCAGTGTTCCTACTAGGGATGCACAATATGGATTTTTTTCAGCTGATAAGCGATAATTATTTGCTTCTCATGGCCGATACCGTTAACCGATAATTTTTATATTTTAAAAAGAACTTGATAATCTTTTTACACACTTAATGGCAAGATGAGCAAAGATAGATGATTTAATATTTGATTGTTCTGACCAAATCTAACTGACAATAGCACAACAGTCCTGACTCTTGAAATGTTCATTTATCTTTTCTAGTTAAGTTAATCAAAAAACTTAAACATACTTTGGCTTACATAAAACATAAAGCCTATAAATCATTTTGTATAAGAATTTAATTATTATTATTATTATGGGCCGATAATTTACTGGCTGTAATTTAATTATCCCGATAATTCAAAATAATATCCATTTCCCCATTACTGGCTGATAATTTATCAGCCCCAATAATTATCATGCACCCCCGCTATATAACACCACATGCATCATCTGCAGCCCTTGATGTATCAGTGCTTTGTGAAAATGTGCACTGACACCAAAGCTGGGTGGAGCTGCACAGTCTGTCATCAACACTCACAATCAGCCGCTGAAAATCAGAAGCAGCCAGTTTTCTCTCTGATTCTCTCTGCGTTCTTATCAGCGGCCTGCTGCTTTTCTCTCTCTTCCTGTGTCGCCATTGTAGCTCAAAGTGCTGACGGTGCAACTGCAGTCCTCAACTTCAATTTAGTGTGCATGTCTTGTGTGTGTCACACCAGCATTTCCAGACTGTGTGCCATAATGATATCAGTCAGCATGAAGAAAGAGCAGCTCAGCAGAAATGACTGGATGTCCCAAACACGAGTGCACACAGCTGTCTTGTCTGTTTGTCTGAACGGAAGTTTCGCTACACATTGTATAACATAATACTGGGCCTAGTATAAACTTAGTAGTGGGATTCCTGCAAAAACTATTTTGGATGAGTAGGTCGGGCTGGAGGCGTTTTAGTTTTTATCAAATAATACAACGATTTTATTGCAATTAATTGCTTGTTCTAAAGTAAGAAAACTTGATTAATCTGTTGATTAAAAGAAAGTTATTTGGCAACTTAATAATTTATTAGTCCTTGTTTTTTTTTTTTTAGCAAATATGTAGCAAACCATACTCAGGTTATTCTCCAATGTAAGCATTTGCTGTTCTGTATCATTGTAAACTGAATATCCAATAGTTTTTGGACTGTAGGTCGGACAAAACGAGACATTCAAAGAAGTCACCTTGGGCTCTTGGAAACTTTGATGGCCATTAAATAGACTAATCAATTAATCAATTGACATGTAATGTAATTGACAGATTTTTGATAATGAAAATGAGCTTCAGTTGCAGCCCTAGATTGGTGCTATAATAACTTCCTAGAGCTGTAAAATCCTGACTCAAAGGTAATTAAACTGCTATGCACTGTCTTGGTATCTGATAAACCTTCAAACTTGGACTTTATGGTTTATGTATTTCATCTCCTCACTGAAGCTCTTTGGCAGCATCCACACCAATGAACCCTCACAGGTTTTTACTTTTCATGCAGTGCTACTGTAAATCTGAACCTAACTTAACATGGCAAAGGAGTGAGCATGTCGACATGACTTGCAGTAAAGTAGTTTGGCTTCTGAGACAACCAGTAATTAATATAGAAAACAAAATATAACAATTCCAGCCCTTCTGTCCCTTAAGGTCAGAGTAGCTCTATATACACAGGGCTGCGCTGTTAGCTGGAAAAACAGGTTAGAAGAGCTTGACCTGTCCCACACAACAAGACTTTGTGTGTGTGTGTATACTATATTTAGTGTGTGTTTGTGTGTGTGTATGAGGTTGCATATTTGCAGCCATGCATTTTTGTTTCATCCCCTTACAGCATGCATGTTTTGCAGTCGGTGGCAGTGGTCAGTGCTGCTGATACGTTGCCGGCCAGTTGTATTTTGTGCGTGGGCGGTATGTGTGTGGCATTCCTTTCCCATACAGACTCGTCGCGCTCCCCCTCGTCCTTTTGTCGCCGATGTTTCATGTCAACAAACAGGCCGGCTCACAGGCTGGTGACGGAAGAGCCAGAGGGCAGAGAAATAGACTAGAAGGTCACCCGTCCCGCTGGGAATATTGTGTGTGTGTGTGTGTGTGTGCGTGCAAAGACCAGTGATGGGCGGATTCAGCTCAATAAGTGTTCATTTGAAACGCAAGCAAAACAAATCTTGTCATATTATAACCTGTGAGAACCCAGAAGACTGAACCCTGAAATGTTGAGGTTTATGTGTGAAAAGGTGTGGTTCACGTGTTTGTGAATGTTGTGTAATGTTACTGCAGCCAGAAGAGTTTAGTTTTTGTGACAAAGGTCAATGTGTTTCTCGGTTCCTGTTTTAGCAAATTGTTCTTCTCCCTCTGCTCTCAGAGTTCACTGTGTGTGTTTTACATAAAATCAGTGGTTGATTCGGTTGAGGCACGAAATGCCTGCAATAATCTTTAAAAGAAAATGTATCTATCTACAGTTCAGTGTTTACCCATTATAAAAGTTAACAGAAGCTCCAAATGATGACAATAATAACATGGTTGGATTGCAACAATAAATGCTGAACTAAATCTAGCATCTTACTCTGGCTCCAAATATATGTACTCTGTGTAAGTACGTAGTAGTCAAGGAGATCATGTACTGGTCCAGCAAGATGCTGCATTTCATAGTTTAGAATACAATTTACTTTCCTATCCAGTTCCTGTAATCAGTCTGACATGACCTGATTATCTGATCAATTCTGGGGTTTGGCTCAGAAGATAATCATCATCTTCATCCATTAATTGCAAGTTTGATTGTTTGATCCCCGGCTTCTCCTGTCTAGATATTAAAGTGCCCTCGAGCAATATACTAAACCCCAGTTGCTCCTGAGGCTCAAACACACACACACACACACACATAAGTTTAGAGCCGTTAAGAAATGGTTAGTACACTGAAGGTTTATATAAAAAATGCGAGTCCTCATGAGTGACTTCAGAGGTGACCAGTCTAAACATTTTACAAAGTCAAGGAGCACTGACGGCAATCACTGTCACCTCAGCTCACAGCCTGTAGAAAGGATGAGCGGTAGAGTGATGGATTTTTACTAAAAAACACTCTCTTGTCACGTCAGATTCTCAGTTTGATAAGTGACAGCTGTTTGTATTTCTGTGTGAGCCTGAGGTGAGCGTGCTGCACTGACAAACTCGCATCTCGCCTCAAAGTCAGCAGCTACAAACACACAGGAGCTGGGTGACTTTGTGTTTTTTTTTTTTATTGTAGACACAGCTGACACAGGTCATACACTGACTGCATGAAGCAGCATGTGCTTGGCTGGGCGTCCTTGTGCGCTGTGTGTGTGTGTGTGTGTGTGTGTTTTTGTTTGTGCTCTGAAGGAGTCAATAGACGCTGAAGTGACTCTCCAGTAACTGGGGGTAAGTATGTCCCCCGGGCTCCTACTTCCTCTGAAATATTGACTCAGCACCACAGGGAGAGGTCCCACACACACACACACACACACACACACACTCACTGCCTTTTCCATTACATGATGTCTCTATTTTCGTTGCTACAGTGATCTTGCCTGGAATGAACAACGATCAGCTAATGAATGTACTCGAAGGCTTTCTTACCGTGGGACACTGTTGACTAATACTCTCCATCATGGTAAAATCACACCTTAAAGGTCCCATCGAAATGATATCATCCCTCCCTTATGTGATGTTATTTCTGATGAAACAGGATTTTGGGGGTAGGAGATGACACAGTAAGTAAAAATAAACAAAGTATCTAGAGAGGGGCAGTCTGGTTTTATATGTGGTTCAAAAAGATAGGACTGTTCATAAATGTATGATGACATTATTAGGACTTCAGTTACACACACTAGTGCAGCATAAAGGGCAGCACACAGTAGTGGCATTTATTGTTTAGGTGTATTGATGCGCATCATTACGACAGGAAATGCCACCATCCTAGTGTCGACACACATCATCGCTCCTGAAAATCACCAATTTAATCACATTTACTCCATGAACCTTGACTAGTACTGTCTGCAGGGCCGTGTGTGTGCTACATGTTTAAGTAGCTGTTTCATGCAGTGTTACAGGAACTTGCAGACCAGCGTGGCCATCCAGGTGCTACTTAAATACATGTCACAATTAACAAGGTCCCGATCCAGTACTTATGTTTACCTAAATGACAGAAAGGAATGTTTGTGACAGAGATGCTCAGTAAAGGCTACATTAATATATCCATAGTAGCAGAAGACATGCAATGTTGTCTACATACTGTATGCATCTGGTACATTAAAATAACAACCGTAGCTGTGACACTATTGTGTTGAACAGCTCAAATTATTGATATGTTATGAAGGTTAACTGGGAGGATATAACTCCTGAAACGGACGAGAAGCGATCGTAGATGTTAATTAGGGACAGCTAATATGACCCGCAGCTCCAGCGGGTCACTGTAACCGGAGAAGTGACGGTCAGCAGCGGCTATAAATGAGAAACTGCTACCTGACTTTTTTTTGTACACCAATATGGAAGAAAGAGGTAGCAGATAACAAATTCGTTGGCTGTTGGAGTTTAGTCAATCTACATGATGTCACTGGGATGCACGGCGGTTCAAAATGACAGGAAGTGACCTCCCGGTTCGATCCCTGACTTCTTGTCTTTACTTGTTGAGAAATTAGCTGAATCTCACGTCGCTCCATATGAGCTCTTTAAATGTAGTCTACCATGTTTGGCTTGAACGAAGAGTTAAATCGTACACGTCATTCATTTAGTAAGAACTTCAGCTGTTCACAGTTCTTGTTATAAATGTAACACCGTTTTGACTTTTTGTCAGACAGAATAAGCTACCTAAAAGGTCAAAATATGTGCTGGGAAGTTGTGGGATCCTGGATAAATGAACTTTATGCTATGATTAGAACAGTTTGGACAATTTTTTTAACTTGTTACTTAGCCAGCAATGCCATTCAGCCTTGCTTCCTCCTTTCAATACGAGCGTCCAGACAAAATATACAGTACATCACCCGCCCAGCCTGACATCTCACGACATCACAGGCTCCCACAGTAAAGCCGGCCTTGTTGGAAATAGATTTCTCAATGTCCCCCTGCTCTATTCATGTAGTGAAACCAAGCAAGGTCAAAGCTGAGAATGTGTGGAGTGTGTTTGTGTCATCGTGCCAGCAGCGCCCACTTTGCTGCGACATGCAGGCAGACATCAAGGACACACACACACAAAGACAAAACACTTATAGCCTTTGGTCTTCTTTTTAATTGCTGGTCATAGGAGCTCTTTGTAAATCCCATTGATCTGCTGCTCTCTTTTTGGAAACAGAGGCAGTCGTTGGACCTTTGTGATTTCCCCCTCTCTCTCTACCTTGTCTTCTCTCGTTTTATCCTTTATTGAGACTTGATAGCTAGTGGTTTTTGGGATAATGAGAATACAAAGTGTCTGTGTCGTACAGCAGATGCTCTTAAAGGTGCTGTTGTGACTGACAATGAAGATTGCTTCTCCTATATTTGGGAATCAAATTGTCTCACTCTGCCTCAGCTTGCCTGCTGTTTAAACCCAATCTCTTAATGGTGTGTGTGTGCATGGACGTGTGAGACAGAGGGTGGTTCAAACCAGTTGCTTTCATGTCTGTTCCCATACTCGCACTGTATGTTTGCCTGGGCCGGGGGGAGGAAATTATCATCCATCCTGGGACCAACCCCCAGATATCCTGGCAATGGAATTAATAATTCAGAGCATCACTGGGGCTGAGAATCTGCAGCTGTCCAGCGTCCATGTGCTCTTCCAACAGTTTGTCATTTGAAGCAGCATTTGAAGTGTGTGTGTGTGTGTGTACGTCTTGGTATACATGTGTGTTTTCGTGTTGTATAGAAACGCTCGTGGCCAAAGTCCAGACCCAACCCCAGCTGTAACGACCTGTACACATTAACAGGCTATTAGTGGTGCAAGGAGAGGGAGTGGGCCGATGAGTTAATGTGCTTCCATCGGATAGGAATCAATCATGATATGATTGTTTGTCATGATTGACGGGCTCGACCAGGTTTGTATGTTGGAGTGTACATACCTGGCCTCAGTCATGAGTTCTGTGACATGTGGCTATGACCAAGAGCGACAGCTGATATGACCAAGTACCTCTACAAGTAAAGCACAATAACAATAAATAGATAGCAAAGACAGTAATATTTTGACGACAGTGAGGGCTTCTTTATAGCCTAAGCTCTATATAACATGATCTGCTGAAATCTGCATGATTATAAACTTTTTTTATTAAGGCTTTTATATGTTGTTTTATTTTGAAGGGAAGATGTAGAATAGAGCTGATACCTGGTTGACAGCGCTCACAAACACCTAAAGAAAGCTTTTACTGTACATCCCATCATGAGCAAGACATGACTGTGATGTTGATGTAACATTGTCACTTTGTATTATATAGCTCCGTTTTGGCCCCTTTCTATTCTGTTTATAATAGCCGTAGCTCAGTTAGCGGTAGCATTGGTGCAACAATTTACCAAGAGCCAAATCAAAGCATCCAGCTTTGCCTTGGTCTTTATCTGTTCATAGAAAGAAACACAGTTCTCTTCTGATTTGTTTAATAGATGTCATTGTTGTTAGATGTGCTTTACTTGTTATCATGAAACAACAAGTATCTATAACCACATTTCTCGGTTTAAGGTGTTAATCGTATTAGAATAGAGACATAATGGCAACACCTGAAGGTCCGCTGTGTGGTTTCATTCATTGTTTCATTTAATGTTTCTCAACAACTTGTACTGTCCATATGGTCTAATGAATAAATTTCTTCTTGTGTACTTGATGGGAAGGCCTTGTTGAATGGATGAATTGATCAGCTGAAAGTACCACTCATGGTTCTCTCTCTTCCACTTAGGAAAATCCCACCTGGCCATTGTCCAGAAAGTGAACAACGAGGGGGAGGGAGATCCTTTCTACGAGGTATTGGGTTTAGTCACCCTTGAAGATGTGATCGAGGAGATAATAAAATCAGAGATTCTGGACGAATCGGACCTTTACAGTAAGTTTGGCCTTCTGTTTAAAATGTAAGTTATTCATTGATTTACCACTCAGCTTGTCTTTACTGCCAGTTGTTTTCATCTCAATCTTACTTAATTACTTTATTATTCATATCTAGGTTGTTGTTGTCCTCTCTTTGAGATAAATGTAAACAGACTATTTTCAGGTATTTAGACATTGATATAGCTTTAAGTTTTAAGCAGCTGAGATGATTTTAATTGTAATGTTTTTAATACATAACTTTGTCTGCTGTGTGTGTGTGTAACTTCACAGCTGATAACCGGCACAGGAAAAAGGTGGCACCAAATAAGAATAAGAGAGACTTCTCTGCCTTCAAACACGAGAGCGAATCAAAAGTGAAGGTCTCTCCTCAGCTGCTGCTGGCCGCCCATCGCTTCCTGGCTACAGGTGGGGAATGGACTGATGCAAGCATGCACACACAGACACACAATCACTCATCACAGTGTCACCTAAACACATCCAGTAGGTCATTTATAACTTGTTAACTAAACATGTGAACTTACAGTATGTCTTCGATATCTAGCCACAGCATGAATATCCTCATGTTGTTAGGGATGTGATGGTTTCTGTCATCCGTCTGCCATCTGACTAGCAAGGCAGGGCCATACATGCTGGGACGAGGTTTAAGTGTGTTTATTTACTTGGAAGATCTATTTAAGGTCGAAGCAGTGTGCCTGCCTGTGCTTACAACCACAAGAAGACTGGACTTTGGCCAGCTGGATGTGATGCCTTGCCACTGCTACAAATCACTTGAGAACGTGTTGCAATGGATCCGGTTAGTGAGCGTTAGCTGATACGCTCTGCCAGAAACAGTAAGCGCTAGCCGCTGCTAGCATGATGTAGCACTTCCTCGTCTCACAGACACATGAGCCTACCAGAGTCTGCTCCTCTGCAGGCTAAATGTTGGTGTGTTTCTGTTTTCTTTCTCAGATTGTTGGGTTTTTTTTTCCTCAATTTATTACCCAGGAATTTTATTTGTAATGTTTTAGAGGTTCTGTTTTCAGTCCAAGACGTTAGCGTTTCCCTGTTCCTTATTTTGTTCCTGTTCACATCAATGGTCATTATCAAGCTCTTTTTAGATTGTGCTTGATCTCCATTGACATTGTTATAGAGAGTATCACTGAGAGATGTATTCCAGATGAGGAATATCAGTGAATTTTTAAAATGCATTATAACACCATAATGTAATGATTCATTACAAGAGTTTAATGACTTATGTATTTGACAACAGCAAGCTCTACCAGTCAGTAGATTTTCTTTTGAACTGAGGAAAAAAAAAAACAATAACAAACCAGGAAGATATAAAATACATAGACTTAACTTGACTTAAGCCCTTTGCTTCTCTAGGGAGCTAATCTCCCCCATAAAATGTACCAGCTGACTTGAAAGTCATACAAAAAATAATGAAACATTTCATCAGAGCCACTGAAGGAACTCACTGTTCTTTTTTTTCCTTTTTGAGTAAACCAGACAAACTTGCCGATTTTAATATGTAAACCAGGGTGAAAGGAGTTTGTTTGCCCTTTAGAGTATGAAAGCCAACATTGGTCATATATATGCCTCACCTCTCACTGTGTATTGCAGAGGGCTTTGTTTGCAGACTGCACTGTTTCTTTGTTCTCAGTTTGGGTGGGGTCGAAGGCACTTATTGTGGAGCTCTGATTGCAACAGCCTGGCCTATGACAGTTGGTGACTGCACATAAACCAAAGACTTTTCAACAGTTATATTTTTGACAGCGACAATGCACATTAACCAAAATCACTGTAAATGTGCCAGTGAACACACAATAAGAGCCCACCTTTTTCAGGTATAACAAGTTCACCAAAAAGAACAAACAAAGAGAAGGAAATACCAATAAAATGCTTTAAATAAAGTATAAAATAGCATAAACATATACAACAATAGACAAAGAAAATAAACACATACATACAGTATTAACTCAAAAATACCTAAGTATTCACTGATGTCCACTACAAACTTTTAAAGTTAAGACTAAGCATGAGTCTCACACTTAAGCAAACCAGAATATCAGAATATAAGAAATAACATATACTAATCCTCATTTGAATGCATTTGGGAGCCCTGATTAATACAAATTTATATAATCTCTGTTTATGTCACTTAAAGAGGCTTAATGTACTTTTGAATTCTACTTGATCACTTGATACTTGATCCTTGTTATCCTTTTAATTAATTCAGGTTGTCAAAGCAAAGTTTATGCCTTTAAATAAATGTTACGCTCCTTTTGTTAAGAAAAGAATCACCTGTTGTAAAACAGATGTACTTGCCACACCCGATTATGTAAGTTATTGTCATGTTGTACTAAAAGCACACATTTAATAAGCACCTGTATCAGTGATGTCAGTAAATTAGTTTACAGTAAGAAGACCTGCTACTCAATTATGTTGATGCATCTCTAGAATTTTTTTAAATACCTCTGTGTATTTCACTATATTAATATCCAGAAATGTATTATGGTCAATGTTATAACGTTCTAAAAGTACGACTATTTACATCTCTTCCTCCTGTCTTCCTGCAGAGGTGAGCTTGTTCAGCCAGTCTCAGATCTCAGACAAGGTGCTGCTGCGGATCCTGCGTCACCCCGATGTGATCCAGGAGATCAAGTTCAACGAAAGCGACAAGCGCTCGCCCCATCACTACGTCTACCAGAGGGGCAAGCCTGTCGACTACTTCGTTCTCATCCTGCAGGTACACAGTGATTTAGGGAAGTGGGTGTGAAGTTTGACTTGGGTTCACGGCTGCTTGTAGCATCAGTGTGGGTGAAATAGGAGCTCTGAATGCCAAAGTTGCTCATACTGCTGCCTGATCTTCACAAGTTGATAGAAAGGCTCTTTTTGAAATCTTTTCTCTTCACATGCTCTTCTATCCTCCCACACTAATGTAAACTCCCACACAATATCTAGTTTTATTTCAACTCTTACATAGTCTCTGTTTCTACTGTCAGATTCAACCACAGTAATTCTTTGGCATTTTGTCTTGTTGTTTTGTCTCCAGTGTGCAAATCGGTTGAGTTTAAAAGTTCACTCTTGACCATGGAAAGTCAAGAAAGTCATGTAGTAGGTGTTCTGGAGATTTTGATTTTGATCTTCATCAGCAGATGGAGTTTGCCTGGTGGCCATGGAACTATAGATGTTCAAATATGCATTCTTACTGATCACTTTAAGGACCTGTTGGTTTAACAGCTGAGTTTGATTTTGTTTCTTGTCTTTAAATGTAAAAAAAAAAAGGGTCCTTGAGAAGAGTAAAACTCAGTGAAAACCTGTAAAGAGAAGAGGGAGTGATGGCAGGCATATGTACATTTACAAAAGAAACACAACAGCTGTCTGTCATGACCTGGTGTGGACATGCAATGAGGTTATTCCTGTTTAAATGATAACACACTAACATGCTTTTCCCTGCCTGACGTCAGAATAACTTCTAAAAACCAGGTTCATACTTAAGTATAACAGCACCCTGAGTCACCGTCATGAACACATCCCGTCCCCAAAATGTCAAACTACTATTGCTTCAGACAGGATAAAAGCTGTGCATATTATGAGACTGACCTTCCCTACACGCCTTTTCTCTTTCTTTATTTGACCCTTATCTTCACCTCCTCCTCTTCTTCTCTCCACCTGTCGAGTCCTCCAATCAACGAGTGCTTCTGGAGTTTAGTGGCATTGAACGGTCTGCCTGGTTGTTAAAATGTGGCTCTAAGCTACAGCTTGTGACAGATGGCGGTAGGCGTCGTACACAGCGCCGACCCAACAGGGGTCCCGAAACTGTTGATAAAGCAGAGTGTATTGGTGTTTGTCTGTGTTTGTGTGTTTTAAAAGCATTCAGAATTAAGCTGAGTCACTGAACAAGGGCTGCTTAATCAAAAGAAAATGATCTTCCTAGAGTTCTGTTAACTGAAAGTTTCTAAATGGAGTCAGTTGTGATGCTTCAAATTCAATGTGATAAAAGGAAAGCTCAGTGCTTTATGGAGGCCTTACATGAACAAGATTTTGGATTCTTCTGATCAGTGTTTAGTACTGAGGAGCCAGGCAGGGTTTAGTCCCGATAACAAAAGATTTGATCGCCCCTGAAACCGATGTCTTCCTGTCATCTCTAGTTTTGAATGTATGTAACTCTGCACTGGTCAGTGCATCTGACTTTATCTGAATTCTGAATAGACAAGTAAGACCCTCCACTAACTATTATTCTGCCGTATGACAGATTAGTTGTAAGTCAAAGAAAAAGACAAATTTCTCTTTTTCTCACCTAAATCTGTCCCTCTCACCGTTTCCTCTGAGCTAGCTTTGCCAGAGCACAGACAGCTGTTGAGTAAAGACAATATAACACACACGAAATATCGTTACAATTGACTTGAATTGAATCCTTCGTAAGGCTTTTAAGCCCCTCTTTTCACCAAGCTGTTGTTTGATTTTGGACTCTAAAGATACAGAATACTACTCACATACATTAGGCACAAGAAAGCACACAGCAGGAATTACATAATCATTAATGTACTGTTGAGAGAAAATGTCAAAAACCCTGTGTGAGTCTGTGTTACTATAACAACAACAACAACAGTTTGGAGGTCACAACTGATCCAAAGTCAATCAACTCTACAAAGAGATTAGCCGGCTACTTTAAGGGTTTTAGGGGCCAGATTTGGTGACAGGCTGCAGGAGGTTGAAGTCTCCCCTCAAAATCTTTTCAAACACTCTCCACCTCTTAACTTTAGTGGTGGCTTTAAAGTGTTTGTGGAGCATGGTTAAGAAAAAAAAAAGAGGTGAAAAGTAGCTTCAGGGTGAATTACAGCATGCTCTTGCTCACATGCTGTTTGTACAGCAATCAGGCATGAACACCACCGTGCTCTATTACTGAAGCAGTAATTATAATATTTGGTTTACTAAATATTAACCTTATTAGAATGTAACTTCTTTAAAAGATTTACAAGTGATTATGTGAGTGATTCACAGAAGAATGCACACAGAAAGTTACACAAACAAAGAAGTAGTCATACTGTGGGTGTGGGCTAAGTTATTGTACAAATCAGTTTGGAGAATTTGTACTCGATGTCTGAAAAAGCCAGAAATGCTGCAATTGTTTTGAGCTTATTGGTGCTCTTTCACATTGGATTATGAGAAATTATAAAGAGCATTTTCACTATTCTTAATCTTACTGAACAAAAAATGTATCAATAAAATAACGTTGTTACTTGCAGCTCTAGTCATTGCTTTAGCTCCTGCTTCCAGTCTTGAGTGACTCCTCCAGTTTATGACAAGCAACAATAAAAAGCTCATTTGAGACTTGCACCCCGTTGCCTTTATCTGACGGCAATTTACATGTTGGTCTCAACATAACAACCCTGAACACTTTTACGTAAAAGTCAAGACGTCAATTTAGGTTGGCTTTAGATTAAATATCACTAAGATCACTGTAATAAATGTGTAATCTCAGTGATCATCTCTAATGCCCAAACTCTACTCTACTATTTTCCCCTCATGGTCTGACTGGTGCAAAATAGGTTAAAAGCTCTATAACCTCAGCAATAAGCTGACCAGCACAAACACTCTATATATTTCCAATGTTCTTTAATGCCAGCTGTGTGGATCAATAAATGAATATCCAGCAAAACACTTTACATCAGGATGTGAGTTAATAGAAATTAAATCAACATAATGTCCTGTCATGCAATGCTTTTCCACAGTCGGATGCTTCAAAATAGGCAGCAGAATTCACTCTAATAATGTTAAATGCTAAAACTGATACATGACCGCCATGAGTGAAAAATCCATCAGTGATGCAGCCTGCTGCTACTAAGCAGCTTTTTCCATAAATGGGCTGTTTTGAATAAATTAAGCTGTAAGAACAGAAATGTGAAAGTCACTTTTGCATGAATGACAAAATGCCATCACTTGAACCTGCAGATAAAGTCAGCAATATTACAGATTCCATGTCTGAAAAGGGCTCAAGTGAAGGCTGGAGGAAGTTGAAAAGGGGAGAGTGGGTTTCAGACAACTGTGACCTTGGACAGATTGACAGAGAGGAGAGTGGTGGTCCGATGCTCTTGACTAACTGACCGCCATTATATAAGATGTTAGTGAAGGTTGCGGCTGTGGGTCAGGTGGTAGAGCGTGTTGTCCAATAATCAGAAGAATCCCCGACTCCCCCCCGGTGCACGAGCAAGATACTGAACCCCAAACTGCTCCCGGTCCTGGTACACTCACCCACTTCAACCTGAGAATCTCCACCTCCTTACACACTGTAAACACACCAAAAAATCACTGCTTTTGCACGTCTGCTGTATTCGCTCTGTGTACATGTACACGTGTGCCCAAATCCCACAGGGTGGGAAAATTACGCTTCATTGTCTTAATCTTACCCTTTCACACACATTTATTTCCCACATGTCGGTTATGTCATTGTCCACAAACAGTCATTAGACGGGTCCAGTAATCCAGGGGATCTTTTCGACTTTGTCCCTGCCGCTGCTCTCGGTTGAGATTTTCCCCCATGGGAGGCCGGATATCGAGGATGTTGTGGAGAGACCCCACATGTGGAATAATCCGCTGAGACCTATATGGAGAAGTGGCATTTAGTGTCAGCATGCCAGGGAGGGAATTTTCCACCGTTGCATACTGGATAGAAAGACACCGCTGGAGCCAGTAGTTGTGAATAGTTCTGAATAGTGAGTTGTGACTCTGTAGGAAATCCTCTGGGTTACGTTCGTCTTAGATAATATCTAATTCGGGTAATACAAGGTTAAGTTTAGGGTTTTGCACAACAACTTAACCTCTCCTAGAATAGAAGGAGGACTATTTTAATTAGATCCTGTGCTGATAAATAATCTATTTCAATAATTACAGATAGACTGCAGACTACTCAATGAATTATTAATTTCTAGATTCTCTGAAGAGTCTTGGACTGGCTTGTGTGTGAGTTTGTGTGCTGCTCGTATTTTTCCTGTAAACAAAATTACGCATTCCAGGAGTGCTTATTTGGAAACAGGGAGAGAAGGGAGAGCAGGGAGAAAGAGAAAGATGCAGAGAAATAGTTTTGATTTGACACTAGTTATTTTGGACAGCATCTTATTGATTAGAAAAAATCGATTCAATAGAGATGTGTTGGTGCTCGTGTGGAGGAAGTATACCTGCAACTTTTTTGCATGTTTGAGAACAAAAAAAAATAAACTACTGAAACTAAACTTCATAGCCCCAATGTGGAAGTTCATTTAAATGTTAAAGTTCAATTGTTAATAAGGTGTCATGTTGATCTTTATCCTGCTTTGTTGGAGAAACTTTATATAAGCAAAGCATATTAACATTTGTTAAGGTGGCTCCTAGTAAAGACCACCCACTGCCTCCACGCGTGTGTATTGTAAAGCACATACCTGAGGTATTAAGTTGCTTACTGCAGCAAATGTACAGTATTAAACAATAAGGTTTGTTTACAGGTGTTGGGGAGTGCTACTCTATATGTGAAGAAGTTGTATAAAGCCTTTTGTGGCTCTATGGCTGGTCTGATAACTTTCCTCAAGTGATGTCACTTGAGTCAGCGTCGGTGGCGGCTAGCTCTGTTTGAGGCTAGCAGCTTAAGGCTACATACTACTAGCTGCAACTAGCATAAAACCCCAGAATCTCTTAGCTGTCAGTGACTTAGTTGCATTGTGGGTAATGTAGGCACCAAGTTTTGACAAGGGAGAAGAATGCGTTGAATAA